AGAAAGAAAAAAAGACTCACCCTCACAGCAGAGAATCAGTTAAGGTGTTAGTTGAAAGTCGGCACGTCTACCGACTCACTGATTCTATAATCCACGAGGATCGCATGGGGCGCTGTATGACAGAAAGCCCCGTTGGGTGCCTCCACTTTTCACCGTCTTTGGCGAGCGCTGGAGTTTGGGCGAAGGATTTCCCTGTCCACTCCGCAATATGTCGGTCCATCTCTTCTTTTGCCTGCCGATCTCATTCTCCTCCCCGGCACAGTTCACCTGTAGAATGGTCTAAGATAGGCCACACGATCTTGTTATATGACCACGCAATTTCAGTTTTCTTCGCTTCAAAGTGTAGACATCAAGTCTAAATAATTTTATTTTTCAAATATGGAGTGCTTCACGAATTTGGGGGTCATCCTTGCGCATGAGCCATGCTAATCCTGTCCATATCTTTCATCTGTTAGTTTGTACTGCGTGAACAGCATTATTGTTTGTGTCTCGTTTTCCTCATGTGCACTATACACTATCTGCTTGCCCGCACCACAACACTGCAGCCTCATCATGATTAGATATCAGAACTTGCATTCTGTTCTGAACGTTTACGATGAAAATTTAAAATTCTGAAGTATGGATGTTTTCAACTAATTATTTAAATAATAATTCGAGAAACAGCTAACAACTTGTTAGAGTTAAACAGGATACACAACACAGTAAACCTAACATCCTGTGAATTTCCTGTTCTTACTTAGAAAAAACGCAAACTACCGACAAGCGAACAAAACTTCTTTTCTTTCTTTTTTTTGGTGTCCTTGTCCCTTGTCTTTTCCTTAAATGAAACAAACAAACAACATCTTTTTCTCATTTTTTCCCTCTTTTTCGCCCCCCCCCCACATTTTTTTCATTTCTTCTTGTCGCTTTCTTTTACATTTATTTAATCTTATTTATTATATTCTTTTTTTAAAAAGTCTGTCAGCACACACTCCAACGATGACGTCACATAAGTGCCATATTTCTTAAGTTTATCTTTTTCCGACTGCAGACATAATATTTGCGCACAATCGATTTATCAGGGTATCAGTGCAGTCACAGAAAGTTGT